GAGAATTAGAACATTTTAGCATACAATAATTGTGTGGATTTTAATAAAAAAAATAGCACTTGTTTCATAATGCAACACAATGCCGAGTTTATCACGCCTATTTATCTCAGTGCTCGCTTTATTATGCAATAATGCAATAAAACCACGGTTTAACTTGCTAAAAAATAGTAAGGCTGAGCATGAATTGTTCTTATATTTCCTTTAATTAAGCATAAATGTGGCCAATATTTTTACACCAGTAGGATGGAATAAAATGTAATTTTGTTTAATTTATAAAAGTAATTTTATTATGCAAGAAGCGACGAACAAAAAATGAAATAATTAAAAAAAAATAATATCTAACATCTGTCAGACGATTCGAACCTCACCTTCTAAGGTTCATTATAGTGGCCTTATGAGATTTGACAGATGGTTTAAAATTTGACAACTTTCAACTAACTAAATGCTAAAAAAGCTAACTAAGTTGGCAAATTTTAATAATACCAAGAATTGGTAATTACTAATTAGTAATTAATATAATAATTTATAATTACTAATTACTAATCTGTAATTCCGAACTAAAAATGGTAAATAAAAAAGTATTAGATTACAAAAATATCAACAAAACATTAAAAACGTGTTAATATAAAAATATAAAAAAATTTGTTTTGTTAATTTGTCGCCCTGCATCTTTTTAGAAAGTAACGAAAGTTTTGTCTATAAACAATTATGTTGAAAATTTAAAGCTCTACATTTTTGTCGACCAATAACAGAGACATTTAAAACTTAAAAAAAAGGGGGGAACACGGGAGTTTGACATTTACTGTTTAGATCAGGATATTTTTTTTTTATGTATACATAGGTACCCCCTGATTTTTTACGTATTGAATAATTTTATTACAGCTTATAAGCTAGAGACTACAAACATCATAAAATGTCAGTTTAAATTAAAAACTTCTTATTTTTTATAATAAATATAAATATACTTCAGTTAAAAAAAATTAAATTTATGTTACATTTCTTTTTTTAAACATTAATTTTTTTAAATTATCTAGTTTTATTATAAAAATATATTTTTTTATTATTATTTAGTTGTGAGTTATGAGATATTAGGTATATTATGTATAGGTATTTAAAAATTAAATTAATAATTGTATATTTTTAATTTTTATATATTACAGACTAATTTTAAGGACTATGGAAGAATTTATTTATTTTTAAAATATTGATAGGATTTTGTACTTACTTAGTTTAAATTTTAATTTTTTAATTTTATTAGTATTTTTTTACAAAACAGGTCTACAAAATTTTTCTGCCTAGGACGAAACAATTTTGGGGGCTGCAAAATTTACCAACCAAAATTTTAGAAACGACAAAAATTTTTAAAAAATAAATATTCAAAAAACTGAAAAAAATTTAATGTCCTTCAATGATCATCAGTCAGTAATGAAATGCAGAAGAAATTTTTATTTCCGCATACCTATTTTAGGGAATTTTCAAATCATATTAGGGAGTCCGTTATTTTTTACATGGGTATCATCTAAATTAATTTTTTTACAGTCTAAAAAACAATTTTAAAAACAAAATATTTTTCGATTTGGTTTAACGCTTCCTAAATGACATTTTAATCACATGTGCACAAAAATTAACGCTCTACAAAAAAGGAATTTTATGTTTTTTTCATAAAATCAAAATGTAAAATAAATAAAAAAAAAGTATTGTCATTATTTTTTTTCCGAATTTATAAGTGGCTTTTTTTGCTTGGGTTTTATCTTCATTATTTGTTTGTAGTTAAATTATTTTTTCGATGTCGTCGATACTTTTAATTTTTAATTATTTCATATATTTTAAACTTTGACCTCCAATATCGTTTAAATGGATGGTTTTACAATAAAACATAAAATACCTTTTTTGTAGAGCGTAATATTTGGCTTGTTTATTGTGACATGTCTTTTAACAAAAGAGTTATGAAGTAAAAAAAAATAAAAATGAAAATTTGAAGTCATCATTTAGTCAGTGTTAAACGACATCGAAAATTTTTTTTAAAATTGTTTTTAAACTTTAAACAAATAATTATATGATACCAAAGTAAAAAATGACAAATTAAAGCCAAAAATATGTCTTCTATATTGTTGCATGTAATTGCGAGAATATTTTCTTATGTCATTAAATTGTTAAACGCCATCGGAATTTTTTTTTAAATTGTTTTAATACTATAAACAAATTATTTAGATGCTACCCAAGTACAAAATCTGCGATTCTCAAAAAATTTGAAAAAAAACTAAAAACATCTCAAAACCAAAAACTCCTATAACTTATAACAATTGATATTTTTGGGAACTTTAAAAACATGTAAGTTTTACTTGTAAATGTACACATTTATCTATATTTTTATCCAATTTGGATGATCCAATTTGTAATTTTTTTCTCATACTATATTTTGAGTTACCCCCACCATATTTAGTTTTTCTTATGGCCGCCATATTGGAATTTTACATGGTTATAAACATTTAAAATTGTAACACTGTCTTACAAAAGTTATAAAATTTGCAACAAAGCTGGGATATTTTTTTCGAGTTCGAGACACTAATTTTTTGGTTTTTAATAACATTGAAAAAATCGCTTAAACTTCAAAGTCGAAAATTAATACAACAGTTCAAGTTTACCCTCTAATATTGTAGAAAATTTAATAACGAACATATTGATATATTTAGACTTAAAAATTGTTCAATCTTTACCTTTATTTTTGGATTTACAAAAAAAATTGTTAAAAATAATATTTTTCAATTTTGTTGACTTTTTACGTCTTTTAAGTCCAACTCATGTTATTAAATAATTTATAAATCTTCTTTGTTAAGCATATCTTAAAAGTGTAGATATATTCTGTGGTTTACAAGCAAAAATTTTGACAATTGCAATTTTGTTGTAAATGCAAAACTGAATGTGAAGATTAAAAAAATCGAGTTTAAATAAACTGATCGAAAAAAGTTAAGGATATTGTGAATTCTCTGAGAAAAAAATAGTTTTAAAAAAAATTTGTATAACGTACATTTACTGTCATATCTTTTAGAAATAAAACACATTTGTTTAACTGAAAAAATATTTTAATTAAAATTTATAGGCAACTTTTCTCTTACAATGTAAGAAAACAGATAATTATCAAAAAGAAAAAAATGATTAATAGCGTGTAATTCCACCTCTGCTGGCTATTACTGCTTCAACTCGGCGAGGCATGCTTAAAATTAAATGATCCAAGTCATTTTGATCCAAGTTATCCCATAAATATGGAAGAATTTGCCTCACGTCCTGAACAGGAGGTTGATGGGCAATTGGTGCCCTTCCGAGCATGTCCCAACCATGCTCGATGCAGTTTAAATCTGGAGAGAGCAGGGGTAATGGCAAATAATTAATTTCATGGAATGCTGGCCGTTCTTGTACTACCCTGGCTCTGTGCGGGCGAGCGTTATCATTCAGAAATCTGCAATTGGGCTCTCAATTCCAACGATAATCATCCACAATGTTATCAATGATGTCGTGAGCATAAATTTCACCTGTCATGGTACCTTCTCAAACATACAACTCCGTTCGACCTCCGTAGAAAATTCCACCCCAGACCATTACACCTCCACCTACAAATGGATGCACTTCTTGAACATACTGGTCCTTAACTCTTGAATTTCTTGGTCCCCAGACATAAACTGTAATTTTGTCAGTACCAAGACCAAAGCGGCTTTCATCGCTGAACATCACAGTACGCCACTCATCATTCCAGTTGGCTCTTTCACTACACCAAAGCAAATGTTGAGCTCTATGGACTGCGATCAATGGAGGGCGTCTTATAGGCCTATAGCAATGTAAACCTGCTTCATTATATCGATTTAAAACGGCACTAGGGGTAATACGAACTCTATTGGCAGCGATTATCGTTGGAATTTGGAGCCCAATTTCAGATTTCTGGATAAGAACGCTCGCCCGCAAAGCCAGGGTAGTACAAGAACGGCTAGCATTCCATGAAATTAATCATTTGCCATTACCAACGCTTTCTCCAGATTTAAACTGCATCGAGCATGGTTGGGACATGCTCGGAAGGGCACCAATTGCCCATCAACCTCCTGTTCAGGACGTAAGGTCACTGAGGCAAGTTCTTCCATATTTATGGGATACCTTGGATCAAAATTACTTGGATCGTTTAATTTTAAGCATGCCTCGTCGAGTTGAAGCAGTAATAGCCAACAGAGGTGGAATTACACGCTATTAATCATTTTTTTCTTTTTGATAATTATCTGTTTTGTTACATTGTAAGAAAAAAGTTGCCTGTAAATTCTAATTAAAATATTTTTTCAGTTAAACAAATGTGTTTTATTTCTAAAAGAGATGAGAGTAAATGTACGTTATACAAATTTTTTTGAAAACTATTTTTTTCTCAGAGAATTCACAATATCCTTAACTTTTTTCGATCAGTTTATATCAAAATCTTCGTTAATTAATTTCCTACAACATTGGGGGGAAAATTGGGGTTATCTCATATGGTTGTATTGATTTTCGAAGTTGAAGTTTTCAATTTCATCAAAAAACTGTTTTGGGTGCCCTGAAAACGAACAAAAATATCCCAGATTTGTTGCAATTTTTTTTTAAACAAACTATTTATTTTATATAAAAAAATTGAATATTTATTTATATTTAATTATAATATTAGAGGTCTCTGAAGTACTATTATACTATAGCAAAGAAATTGGATGTAAAGGTTATTGTAAATGTAAATCTTCTTTTTAAATTCCGAGGAATAACAAAGTAATAACGATTTTGATAGTTTTTTTGCAATTTATAAATTTTAATTAATAGGCTTGTATTTTGGCAACTTTTCTCTAATTTAACCGACCTTGTACCTCTTGAAATAAAAAACAAAGAAGTATTAATATAGAAGTATAAGACATAGAAGGATACTTGGTGCACCCTGTATATATTATTTAACATAACATACTTTAATTTTTATTAAATTTTAATTTTCTGGTATATCTTACCTTGAACATAAGGTCCTTTTTGAGGATGTTCCCTAATTTTTAAAGGCAACTGTTTTCTGGAACTCTTTTCCAAATTTTCAAAAAGCAAATCTCTCACTTTTTCGTTATATATTTCCAAGTAACTGAAACAATAAAAATTTATGAAAATGTTTTTTTGTAAATTTAAATTTTTTTATTTATTTTTTATTAAATTCCAAAAATGATATATTTTATAAATAAATAATTATACATAATATAATATAGATACTAAAGAAATGTATTTATAAATTAATCTTTACAATTAAATATTTTATTTAAAACCTAATTTGGCCTAAATCAAAATTTTTTATAACCTTTTGTATCCTTGAAACTACTAATCCATATAATAATTAAAAAGACCGTGTTCTTAGCAATAAACACTAAAAACGTCTGTCACTTCGCTGATAAGTAATTAAAAGTTAACACTCGTATTTAAAAAGGAAATAACAAGAACAAGAAATTCGCGTGCCGCCTGAAAATTTCAACGAACGCCGTTATTCGTATATTCGCTTTGGTGTTGTTGAACGCTCGAAGTCACGAAGTGAACTGCTTCTGAAAACTACACAACGGATTTTCGAATGCTTGAATTATGGCCACCCCGGATTTATGTTGTCGACTTTTTAAGTGAGACCGTCGGAAAGTTGTAAAACACTTTATTTGCACGAAACAGAAAAATTAGAAGAAAATGTTCCAGAACTTATTTAAAAAGGAAATAACAAGAACAAGAAATTCGCGTGCCGCCTGAAAATTTCAACGAACGCCGTTATTCGTATATTCGCTTTGGTGTTGTTGAACGCTCGAAGTCACGAAGTGAACTGCTTCTGAAAACTACACAACGGATTTTCGAATGCTTGAATTATGGCCACCCCGGATTTATGTTGTCGACTTTTTAAGTGAGACCGTCGGAAAGTTGTAAAACACTTTATTTGCACGAAACAGAAAAATTAGAAGAAAATGTTCCAGAACTTAAACAAAATATGAAAATATTCATATGCCAGTGACGGGGATTTCTTTGCCCCTATAGGGGCATAATTTCTAGGAAACGGGAAATTGGTATTCAGAAAGCAAATCTTAAATCACCAATATTTTCTACACATCCTCCAGGATAGAAATAAATACTTTTTCTTGGTGTAATTTAATAGGTCGTTAATAGTACTTACTTCAAATCTTTAACTTAACTTTAAAATTTAAATAGGGCAAAGTTGGCTCACTTTAAAGTGACCAATTGGCCACCCTTTTGTTTCGATAAAAATAAAAAGATAAGCGATACACGACTGGCCATTAATATATTTTTTTTAATGTTAGAAATTGGCAAAACAACTATAGAACAAAACAACAATTAAGACAAGAGATCCTAGACATCACTAGTGCACTCTCTAAAAAAAGTTTTCGACAGTAAAAAAAATGTTTAGCCCTGTTACAAAAAGCTATCAACTTAAGTTGAATTCAACTCATCCTATTAATTATATTTATCTAAACTGCTCGTCATAAAAATCAACGCACCTAGTTTTTTGGAAAATATTTGAAAGCTCGTTATTGGAAAATTACTGAATCGATTTTGAAAATCTTTGCAAATTCTAAATAGCTGATTCTTTGACTCTTATGTCTAATTTTGGGAATACGATATTTTGCACATAGCATTATACTACAGGGTGTTAAACGAAGAGATGTATTTTTTCCGAAATTTCAAGTTATTCCCATTCATGAGGCAGTTGAGTTTGATAGTCGTAATACCCCTTCCTAATATTAGTAAGGAAATCCCTCGAAATGTTTTCGAGATTTTGTGAATATCGCGGCTTACTACGATTATACGCCAATTTATCGAAAATTTCGTTATTTTCCAGTTTAGTCCAAAAAATGAGCAATAGTGGATTCTTTGACTTACGTCTAATTTTAAGAATACGATATTGTGCACATAGCATTATAATAATAATAATAATAATAATAATATTTATTGATCCATAAGAAGCAAATACATTGTATAAGGACAAGTCAAGATAAAATAAATATAAAATACATAACAATAATTGTAAACTTATATACATATTAAAAACAAAGATAAATACATAAACCGATCAAAAAACTTGCAGATAGTCAGACACAGAATAAAAGCAGTTAAATAATAGGTATTTTTTTAGTTCTTTCTTAAAATTCATGTAAACAGTAATTTTTTTTATATTCTCAGGCAATTTATTATATAATACTATGCCTGAATATAAAGGTGATTTTTCGTACAGACTGGTTTTATGTTTTGGATATTCCAGTGTCTGACCATGTCTAGTTGAATAGTTATGCGAACCACCAAGAGACTTTAAAGTACTTAGTTTTCTTTTAATGTACAAAGTAGTACTACAAGGTGTTAAAAAAAAGGGATATTTTTTTCAAAAATTTCAAATCCCAATTCACAGGGCAGTTGAGCTTGATAGTCGTAATACCCCTTCCTAATAACAGTTAGGTTATCCCTCGGGACGTTTTCGAGATTTTGTGGATATATTGGCTAACTACGATTAAACGGCAATTTTTCGAAAATTCACGTTATTCTTCATTTTAGTCTAAAAAATGAGCAATAGTTGATTCTTTGACTTTATGTCTAATTTTGGAAATACGATATTGTGCACATAGCATGATACTACAGGGTGTTAAAAAAAGAGATGATTTTTTTCCAAAATTCCAAATCCCCATTCACAGGCAGCAATAACGAGCTTTCAAATATTTTCCAAAAAACTAGGTGCGTCGATTTTTATGATTAGCAGTTTAGGTACTCCCATTGAGCTATATTGTTTTGTTTTCCGTGAATAATAATAAACATTATAAGTTCCCTGCCTAACAACGGGAATAATGAACTCATTATTCACGTTGTTATGCATCATTGATTGGCCGATTTCAATATTCACTGTGATGTGAACTAATCGGGTTTTAAATTGGGAGAAGGCGACTATAATCTATACTATATTATATATACTTGAAAATTATTTAATTATCTACTAATTGGAGTAGATAAAGTATAGTTATTACACTCGAGAGTACACGGAGAGAAAAATTTTGCCAAAATAACTATCCAAAGTATTGTTAAATGACGTATAGTGAATTTAGTCAACTGTTTTATTAAACTGAGGATCTGTATAGCCAATTTAGCCATACAAATCCTCAGTTTAATAAAACAGTTGACTAAATTCACGATACGTCATTTAACAATACTTTGGATAGTTATTTTAGCAAAATTTTTCTCTCCGTGTATGCGAATTATTCACTCGGATGATTCAAGTCTCTCGTCTAGCGACTCGAGACGCAAACCTTTCGTTTAATTATATACTATTCTATTCACTAAAGTGTATAAAAACATAAAAAAAAATTAAACATGTCAATATTAAAATTTTAATTTCAAATTTAAGCAGTATAAACAAACCCTGACAAATGCAAAATCCCCAGTTTACTTAATATTAATGAGTAAGTTTTGTATCTCAAACGGTTCCAGAGATATCTACCGTCAAAAAATAAAAATAAACACTTTTTTTTCAAAAAAAGTGGGTACGCGGAACTTTTTTCTTAAAATTAGCCTAGTAAAAAAATATAATTTTTTAAATCAAACTAAACAAAACAATATGTCAAAAAATACTTTTACAAAAACTATTTTTTGCCAAAAGCCGAGATACGATGTTCTTATTTGCAAAAACGTCGATATGTTTCAATATTTCTAATGAATGGGAATAAAATTAATTAATGGGCAGAACATTAATCCACTCAATAAACTATTGGAAATACTATTTAAGGTTCCTAGCACTACTCATTGATGCGACAAAAATAACATTGTTGATGCGGCTCAGTTATTAGACATGGGACCCACATCAAATTTATAAGAGTTTATGACATTATATAGACAAGTTCTGAAAAAGGAGTTTGCGAAAAAAAAGTTAGTTTTTAATTGTGCCCCCAGCCTCCTGCTCCCCCAAATTAAGATAATTCAAATTAAAGTGCTACAATATTTAATTCACTGAAGTTTATCGACAAATTTCAAATTTTATTAAAAAAATTCAAGTACCTACAGGTTTTATACCATTACTATTTTTTTTTAATTTAGTAAAAGAAATAGTATTTTTTTTTAAATTTAGTAAAAGAAATAGTAAAAACTAAACTAAAAATGGTATAAAACCTGTAACACTTGAACTTCAGTGAATTAAATATTGTACCACTTTAATTTAAGGCTGGGGGGCACTCTTAAAAACTAACTTTTTTCGCAAACTTCAATTTAAATTCTGCTTGTGCAGAACTATATAATAATGTCATTATAAACACATATAAATTTGATGTGAGTCCCATGTCCAATAATTGAGATATGGGTGTGCCCAAAATCCAGTATCAGTCTGACTGACTCAAAGTAACCCGTCAGGTTTTATTAGAAATTGTATGATTTTAAATATTGACCTTACGGTTTTCTTCTTCTTCGTGTAAACGAAAGAGTTTACTTATTTATTTTGGGAAGACTTATATGGATTATTCGGCAAATTCACGTTTTTTTTAGAAAAATAGAAAATAATTAAAAAACCTGTTTGTAGTAATTTAGAACAATATAAAGACAATTTGCTGTGACTTTCCAGAAAGTCGGCTTATTTCTTATTTATTTTTTTAGTCACAAACTCACAATTTAAAGATAATTTAGATATGTCGGGGAAATTTTTCAGTCGTAAAAATAAATAACTTAAAGAGAATAAAGGAAATAAATAGCCTCTGGCATTTTCATTTTGAAAAATTATGGAATCAATTTACCGTGTTCCTTTAAATTTTAAGATTTAAAAGTCGGCAAAATCTTCAAAAAACGCGGAATTTAAACAAAAAATAACCCCCATAATCAGAACCTTCGCTACGTCCCTGAATGTAGAATGAAAAAAGTTACTTTACAACTGTGCATAAGTTTAAATTATTCACATTTTATAAACCTTCTTTTATTCTTTTATTACTAAAAACACATAAAAGGAAATAGAATTCTGCATGACATGTCTAGAACAAGCATATGTATAAAAAGGTGTATGATCTAAATATGGTATTTTTTATAACCTATATTTACATACCCATTATGCTTATATGTCTGTAGAAATTTGTTATGTATTTTACCACTCATATACAATAAAGGTATAACAAACAGACCTTGCAAAACATTTTTTTTAAGTTAAAAAAACTTAAAATAATTTGGCTGTGCAAATAAAAGTTGTTCAAACTTCGGCAATTTAAAGTAATTGTTTTTGAAGCGTCGCCCCTGAAATTGGCGGTTTTCAAGAGTGAATTTCGCGGGCCCGTTGCCTTTCAGCTTTCAGCATTTCAGCTTTTCGTGGTCGATATATAATCAAAAATCGTCCTTGCATGTGTAGCTGTGATGGGAACCCCTTCTGCTAATAACAGATAACGTGCGAAATTGTGTGTGTTGATATCAGTAGATTTACGATTTGTTTTGATATTATTGAAATAATCGATGCGAGAATTACGCATGCTTTATTTTTTTATGAATTTGGCTTGTTTTAATTGTTTTGAACTACACTGCCCGTCAAAATTAACGCATAATAGGTAAAAAAATTCTAACTCTAAAACGCCTTTACCAATCTTTATGAAAATTTGTGTAAAAATACTTCAACTTATATCTCAGTTTACGTGTTTGAGGGTTTTTCGAGAAAATATTTTGAAAGCCCTTTTATTTAATAATAAAAAAACGTTTAAAAAATAACTTTTAGGGAATTTTTTAGTATTAGTAATTTTGTATAAATCAAAGGAACAGTAACGAAAATACAGCGCTTCAAAGTCGTCAAAAATGACCACTTTTCAGCAAAATAACCAAAAAGGGGTTATTTTTACCGACTTTAAAGCGGTGTTCGATTCAATTGTACAAAATTTTCAGGGTATACTAATAAATATACGGTCTTTAACAGCATATTTTTTATTTACTTAAAAAAGTTCCCTATAAGTTATTTTTCAAACGTTTTTTTTTTATTATTAAATAAAAGAGCCTTAAACATATTTTCTCGAAAAACCCTCAAACACATAAACTGAGATATAAGTATTTTTACACAAATTTTCATAAAGATTGGTAAAGGCGTTTTAAAGTTAGAAGTTTTTTTACTTATTATGCGTTAATTTTGACGGGCACTGTATTTGTAAGATAAGGATTTGTATTTTTTAAATAAAAAAAATTTGAGGGCTTGGATAAGGCAAAAAGCCAATAAAGCCAATAAATAAAAGAAAGGACTTATACCTTAGGGTGGTCGTTAAAAATGAAATTTTTTGGGACGCCCCCTAAAATGCTTCTTTTTGATGAAAAAACACTAGGATTTTTTTTTTAATTAAAAACAACACGTGCCTCAAGACGATTTAAGTTAATTATAAGTATAATCATGTCTTTTTCTGAAAATATTAATAATAATGTTTTTGAGATTTAAAAATTATTAACAATGAAATAACTTCACCTTGGAGTGAAGAAATCTAGATATTAAAATTACGTTTGTACTAATTTAGTTTTAAAATAAAAATATCAATTTGAATATCTTTCATTTTTTTTATTTAATAGACTGGGAAAAATTTTGAATTTAAATTTTTGTCTATTGTTATTTCGATTAACTATTGTTTTTTTATTGATTTGGATTCTATAATTGTTTATATTTCGAATAAAATTTAATTTTTCATAAAAAATTCCCAAAAAAACATGATTATACCAAAAAATTAACTTAGATCGTCTTGAGGCACGTGTTGTTTTTAATTAAAAAAAAATTCCTAGTGTTTTTTCATCAAAACGAAGATTTTTAGGGGGCGTCCCAAAAAATTTAATTTTTAACGACCACCCTATTATACCTACAGTGTGACCCATTTGTTTGCGACTTACCCTTGTAAAATCTTTATTTATTGTGCGATTTTAACCGGATTTTTGGAGCAAATAACACGATATTTTTACAGAATACAGAGCCTACTATGTCAGTAAATTTTTAAGAATTCATATTACCCCAAAACGACCCCATACTAAATTTTATTGAAAATTTTGAAGTAGGAACGATTTTGTAGCTAAATTGAAAATGCACAATAATTAGTATAGGTACTATTTACGAAAATTTATTCTGTCAAGTCCATCAAAAAACCGTTGAAATAAAATTAAACTAATAGCAACATGGTATAAATATTTTTATGCTTAGTTTTAACAAATAAAAAACGCAAAAGAAACTTAACAACTTAAACAACTATGAAACAAAAAATAGAGAATTCCAAAAATTCTCTACACCTCTAATATGAACTCTTAAACATTTACTCTTAAAAATTGACATAGTAAAAATATGTCGTTTTTTGCTCCAAAAATACAGTTTATCAAGATCTACTTCAAAACAAATCTGGTTAAAATCGCACAATAAATAAAAATTTTACAGGGGTCGCAAACAAATGGGTCACACTGTATGTACTATTGAGGCAAACAAAAAGTGATTGTCTGTTGTTGTCAGTTATATCAAGCGTTTTTTAAAATGTACTAGCCTCTTTTTTTCATTTGGACATAAAAAAATCTGCTGTGCTACCATAAATTACTTTTTTATTTAAATATATTCAACACCGGTGTTTAAATTCCCGATACTTTTTTGAGAGAATAGGGTGTAAACATTTTTGAAGTAGAATTTTCTGATGTTAGACAGACAAAATTTATATATTTACCTTGCTGTGATTTTCATATCAAGAACTTCACTACCAACCGACGTTTCTTCAAGATAGTCAAAAAGTCTTTCACACAATTTAGGTGTTAGACCTGGATCATGGGGGAATCCCATCATGGTATGGGTTTTACCTGAAGAACTCTGTCCATATGCCAAAACGCAAGAGTTGTAGCGGTTTTTAATCGCTGTGCCTATCACATCTTCTATGGCTTCAAAAACCTAAAAAAAATATCGTTAATGTGCTAAAATATTTGTATACAAATGATTTTCTAAACTTTAAATATTTACGAAAAATGTAATGTTTCGTAGAAAAAGTATGTTTATCGTAGAAAAAGTATAGTAAGTAACTCGTTTATAAACTTTTATAGGCACTCATTTAATTAAGGACTCGCTCGCAAGCTCGTGCCTAAATTAAATTTGTGTCTAAAATGGGGTTTATTAAACTTGATACATAATATACTATTAACATTAAGTATTATTTTACAAGAAGGGCACTTTATTTTATAGATTGTATGACATTTGACAACTGTCAACTAACTTAAACTAACTTCAGCCCGTGACTAAAAACCTGTTGCTAACTGGTGCCATGGAAACATGTACGATAATAGGCTTTTTAAAGGTAAGAGTAGAAAATATAGTCATGAAGTACTAGATACCTGGAGACATGGGCGCCGCTACATAGGGGCAGGGGGGGGCCCGGGCCCCCCCCTGGAAATTCATACTCAGAAATTCCGGTACTCCATAATTTGACGGTAAGTGCTGATCGTTATCATTTGTTCATTATTTTTTAGATAAATTAGATTTGTTATCTTAGATAATTTAACTTGTGATTTGATTTGTGCCGTCTTAATGAGCACTAGTGTTGTTACAGTTGTAAAATGAATGAAATGGCTGGCTGTTCAAAGAAATCAGAAGCACAGTTTACTGATTTCGTTCATAATCCTATGGCGAAGAAACCAGAAGCCACAGATCCACGGACAACATTCGTGATATTCATACCAACATCATGTCGTGATTTTCACAAGTTTTATTCTTACTGATATCATACGGAAGTCACCGCGTGATAAATGAAAATCATACGAACGTCACGTCGTGATTTCCACAAATTTTATTCATACGGACATCATCCGGATGTCACTGCGTGAGAAATGAAAATCATGTCGTGATTTTTATGCCATCGCTGTTTGCGATTGACCGATGGCCTAAAAAATCATGTCGTGATTTTTTATGCCAACGGTGTTTGGATAATCATTTTTGCGCCACGTTCGTACACTAAGAGAAGAATTAGGTTGAATCAACAGTTTTTCCGGTTAAAAACATTAACTATTTTCTTGGATTTAAATTAACTATATTATAGTTAATTTAAATCCAAGATATGAACTAAATTTGTGAAAATCACGACGTGACGTTCGTATGATTTTCATTTATTATGCGGTGACTTCCGTATGATATCAGTATGAATAAAATTTGTGAAAATCACGACGTGATGTTCATATGAATACCACGAATGTTGTCCGGGTAGGTTTTTTAATTCGCAGTTCGCAGGTCTAATACGCATGCGCAAATTTTGCAAATATCACACCGTGAGTTCTACATGATATCATTGTGATGAAGCATGTGTATGCACTCAGGATATCACAGCGTGATAAAAAAAAATGACGTTGTGATATCATCATGACTTCACCAGGAAATCCCGATTGTTTTCCGGGTCATTATGTTCATATTCCAAAGATCTTCGATGGAATCTTATATACGTGCAATAAGGTTCATATCAATTTTGATTTGGAATCCAAGGGGTTTTAGCTTAAATAAAACTTAAAAATTGAAATAATCCGGAAACTGTTCTTAAAAAATTAATGAAATAAATATTTAAAAAATAGAGGATTTATTTATGGATTTAGGATTTAAATCCTTTTTTGCAAGTGGATTTAGGATTTATGATTTAAATCCAGATAACGTAATGGATTTATGATTGAGGATTTATATCCAGTTTATGGTGTGGATTTATGGATTTAGATTTAAATATAAATATACATATATTAAATGTAAATATACATATAAAAATAATATTTTATTTGACTTAAGTTTAATGTGAACTTCTACAGTACAACTTGATTATAAATAACATCTATCAAAATTGTAAAAAACTTTAAGGCCCCCCCCTAGACGAATTCCTTTCGGCGCCCATGCCTGGAGATCAAGTATATTATAAACGTACGTCAATTTTTTAGTAAATTTTTAAAATGTAGGCGATTCTCCATTAATTTATCTACAATATTCTTCAATATTTGTTTAAATCCTAATTCAAATAAAAAAAATTTTTGCGATTTAAATTCATCGAAAATTTGTGTGGATCGATTATTTTGCCTGAGGATCTACCTGAATTTGTGTTGAATCCTCCTGAAATACACTATCAAACGTAAATCTTCTTATTCTTTCTCTGCTGTCTCCAGCATTTTGTTCGGGAACCTAAAACACATCAAGTCAGATTTCAATTTATTTATTTTCTATTTATATAACAATTTAATTAAATGTGTAAGCATTAAATTAAATCAGTATTGCTATTTCCTTACAATTAGTATCATTTATTCTAATTTTGTCCACTTAAAATAAAATAAAAACTATAAACTATTCCAAAATTAAACCGGTGTTTTTTATTGGTTACCTATGCTATAAACTAAAAGTTTCGCAAGTTTATTTAAGTGGGTCTTAAATTAAAGATTAATTATTATGATGACCTAATTTCTAAATTTTTATTCATAGTTTATTATTTATTTTAAGAAAAAGGGTATTTTCATACAATCATATTATTTTTTATGAGATGTTATGTTCCAGTTAAAACTTTTAACCATAGAAATAATAAAGATTGAACGCGTAATCTGAACGTTGAAAATGTTAAGAAACTGAACCAAAAAATGGCTTAATTTAATTTTGAATGTGATCATATGATTTTCTAAATAAAATACGGCATGTTTGTTTATTTAGGAACTGGTTTAACAGATATTGATAGATTTTTTACCTTACAACGAAATATATTAGAACATTTTAAGTTAACCTATATATTTTTACCCGTGAAATGTTATTTTCCTGTGTAAGGTTATTTTATTTGTGAATGGTTACCAGGCTTTTAATTGGCTTCATTAAAACATCCAGGGGGATTCACCTAACTTATTAATTAGAAATTTATGGAGAACGGAAAAAGATATTGGCTAAACCGGAAGTGATATCAACTTAGGTTTTTCAAATGGAATTATATAAATATTATTGCGTTCTACGTAAAATTCTAGAATTATAGAAATCTATTTGATAAATTTTACGATACTTTTTTGTTTATAAATTATAATTTATAACAATAATTATTGTTAAAAATATTAGTTTTTTAAACCATGCAAGCTGGATTTTTTAATTTTTTAATATCCCTTCAAATAAAGATTTCAGAGAGATGTCCCATTTATACGAAAATACCCAAACAATAATTTTAAGTTGGTTATTTTGAACAATTGAATCGTTGAGAATAAGAACAGTACAAGTCCAAAAATTTTATTTTGACAACTCAATTTTTAAAATCAATTTAAAAGTTTAAAATGCATTTTTGTGAGAAGATATAAACCATTTTACAAAATTTGATTATTATATTTTATAAAATATTTGAAATATTCTCACAAAAATGCATTTTGAACTTTTAAATTGATTTTAAAAATTGAGTTGTGAAAATAAAATTTTTGGACTAGTACTGTTCTTATTCTGATCGATTCAATTTTAAAACTAATAGCAAAGTTTGTTAGGTTAAAGAACTTTTAAAGAATTTCGTTCATTGTTTGTATGTACTATGCCCCACACCTCAAAGTCCCACCACGTGACCACGTACGGAACGCAGTCTTTTAAAAATTTGGCATTTAAGGCTTTTCAGGTTATGTATCTGTCAAAGTATAGTCAACGAAAGACGAATCTTTATAACATTACAATAACAATGGATGGTTTAAGAATTTAAGAATATAAATACTGCATTTAATGAAATTCTAAAGTGTATGGTGCCAAATAAGTAATATTTTTGTGCATTTGGTACAAATATCTGGTTTTCTCCATAAAATAATTTTAACTAAACTGCATTTATTAAAAAAAAATCTAGCTTCTCTATTATAGTAGGTTAATATATTATAACAAAAATATCATCTAATTTTGTAATTTAAAAAAAATTATTTTGACCAAAATAAATAAGTATTTTGGATTATTTAAAAAACAGTATAATATGGTATTTAAAAATGTGGTAGTTTTTCTTATTCAGCTTAAAGTGTACCTTCTTTGGTACCTACATAAAGTTATGTCAATACAAATAATTAAAAAGCTTTGACTGAATTTGATCTACATCGAAAAGTCATTATAACTTTAATATTTTAATAAATCACATGTCATGGGAGTATTAAATATTTTTACATTGCAAGTTTCTCTAAAAATTGTTTGTTTTCTTATAATCTAACTTAAAGTAGGCATGCCGAGAGGTATGCACAAGTTTTGTCGTTAGAAGTATAAAAGCTTCAATTTAATTTGAACCATATTCAACAATTATTTAGTATACCTATATTTATTTAAGGCCATATTAACACACTTTTCCAAATAATCCACTTATTTATTTTGGTCAAAATAGATTTTTTTAACCTTAAAATACAAAATTAGATGATATTTTTTGTTCTAATACATTAACCTACCTTTGATTCAGATATTCTTATTTCATAATAGAAAAGTTGGATTTTTTTAAATAAATTCTGTTTAGTTAAAACTATTTTATGGAGAAATGTAGACCCAATGCACAAAAATATCACTTATATTGCACCTTACACTTTGGAATTTCATTAAATGCAGTATTTATTTTTCTAAATTCTTAAACCAACCATTGTTATTATGATACTATAAAGATTTATTAACTTTTAACGCTTAAACATAAGCGGTAACACTATAAATATTATTTCTTTCATTGACTATACTTTGACAGATACAATCTGAAAAGCCTTAAATGCCAAATTTTTAAAGAGCATGGTACATTAAAGTTCTGCGAAATAAACCATGCAAATAGATTTGTTAGAAACAGCAAAGCCTGACGAAAATTTCCATGCAAGAATCAACTTGATATTACCATAATTACCGAAGAAACCACGATATTAAAATTTTGTGTTTTGCCCTTAGCAAAGGTCAATGTCAACCCAATTTTTTTATTTGTTTACATTGTCTAAAACGCACAGCAAATAATGTTGATTGCAACCTGACTCTATTATTAGAATTTTAACTAACTTGACTGTTGGACACTAATTTTAGAATGGCAATGTGTCTTGACCACAACTTGATATAAAATTAAATTAAAAAGATCTTTTAAGAATGTTTAAAATTAATCCCGACGCATTCGCCATTTTTTGCAAATTTGGCGAAGGCGCCGAATTTTTTTATAGTTACCTACCTTTACATTTGTTATTGCGACAGTGTTGTCGTTTTCCACGTTTATCACAGATATTGAGTCACTTTCTCTAAAAATAAAAACAAAAATAATTACTTTGTAGGTATTGTTATTTATTTTTTAATGACAATTATTTAATGTGATCAAATCACAGTGAATATTAAAATCGGCCAATCACTGATGCCTAAGAACGCAAATAATGAGTTTATTTTTGGCGTTGTTATCAAGATTCAAGAAAAAACCCTAAATTATGCAATAGGAGTAGGATACAAGTTTATTTTTATTTCGCATTTATAGAAAAATAAAGAAAAAAAAACATATTCACAAATATTATTTTAAGACCCAAACTTTTGACTTTGACTAGATAAGACAAACACAAACAAAGTTTTAAAAAGATTTTACTGATAATTTTGTGACAGCTATTCAAAATATTTTAATTAACAGAGAGCAAGGCGACAGAGGTTCATTTGTTTTTTTGCAAAAACAAAACATAGGAAGGAGCTCTAATTTTAGACGTTTCCGTTCGTAGCACGTGACCATGTTTACCAACTTAACTTATTCTTAAAATGTCTGCTCAGCTCAGATGGATACTGATGAAGTACTTATCTAACATCCTTGTATTTTAATATTTATCTTAACGGCAATTTCAAGCGTACGGACGGGACAAATCACAAAACTGTTTAAAAAAATAATTGTATGTAATTTATTATATATTATTTTTTCTTTAAAATTGTTAAATATATTCTTTTTTATTAGGCTATACATTAAATAAAAAAAAATCGCAAGAAATATTTTTTAAAAGTAGAGATAATTTTAATAATTGACAGGTGTGGGCGGGACAAGATCTTTTTTTGTCCACACCTTTTAATCATTAAAATTATCTCTACTTTTAGAAAATATTTCTTGGGTTTTTATTTATTTAATGTATAACCTAACAAGAAGAAGAATATTTTTGACAATTTTGATGCAAAAATATTACATAATAAATAATCTACAGTTTTTTATTAAAACAGTTTTGTAATTCGCGCGTTTCGCGCGCTTAAAATGGTCCTTCAAACTATTTATTAAATATTTATCTTTTTTATTTATTACTATTGTACTATTATAACACATAATTTAAAATACTTTTATGACTTTCTGCGTTTTTTTATGATGTATCCAGAAAATGGGTCTCTCATTAAAATATATAAGTACCTACTCTAAACTTTGGCCCACTTTGGTTATTTTTAGTAGGTACACCAAAATCTTAAAAGACTTTTAAAAGTTCACTAAAAAATAGGGCCTGTCAGAAGGCTAAGTTTCACTTTGGCCACCCTTATTTTTTCAATGAAAATTTATTTATTTATTATTTATTATTGGATTGTTTCAAAAAGGGATTTACTCGTAATCAAAAGTTTTACAAAAATGCTTTATGTGCCATAGCTGTAATCTGCACCTGTAGGATGGTACGGGTCACTAAATCTTATTTTAGTGAAAAATTCTCATATTTTTGAAGGAATTTCAAAAGTGACTGGATTCTTTGAAAAAATGTAAAGGACAAACTTTTGGAAACTTTAATTTTCTTTAAAAAAAGGTCTTATCAGTTGAATCGCTAAGATTGATATTTGTTGAGATATAAAGTTTACATTGACAATTTATGAAATTTTTAGGATTTTCGTACCAAACTTTTTATAAATGATGATTTTCAATTGTTTATCAGTACAATTTCATCTAATTACGTTTTTTCTACAGTCGGGTGATTAGAGAAAAATAAATAACACAAACAATGAAGCATAATTATTAATAACATTACTTTAAGTAGAAAAAACGCAATTACATGAAATTGAACTGATAAACAATTGAAAATCATAATTTATAAAAAGTTTGGTTCGAAAATCCTGATAATTTCATAAAATGTCAATGTAAACGCTTTATTTATATCTCAACAAAAATCAAATTTGAAAATTAAATTTTCTACAAGTTTGTCTTTTACATTTTTTCAAAGAATCCAGTCACTTCTAAAATATCTTCAAAAATATGATAATTTTTCAGTAAAATAAGATTTAGTGACCCGTACCATCCTACAGGTATAAAAATACAAACATTTTTGACGAGTATATTTTAAGTTATTAGATCATTAAAAATGAACATCAATAATGGTTTTATACATGGTGCCCGGAAAATGTCGCACTATTATTACTTATTAAGATAATTTAAATTTTGGATTGTTTCCAAAACAACCGATATTAGATGTACCTTGAAACATATGTAGGTACACGTAAAAACAATAAAACAATTGTTTAGTAAAATTACCATGGACATTTTTTAACAGCGAACGAACATATTTTTTTCACTTTCATATCTAAATATTATTGTATATTCAAAATTTTTTTTTATTAAAATGTTTCATTAAAATTTAATAAAAGCTCTATTTTTTTATTAACTATGTTCTCTAAAAATGAATTAGTCAAAAATGACTAATTATCATATCGAAAAGGCAGCCACTAATAACTGTGGTAATTAGTCATTTTTGACTAATTCATTTTTAGAGAGTGCATTTTACTGCATTAATGCATGTAATTATTTTTTGAATTTATGTTTTACCTGTAACTTTAACTGATTTGCCGTAAAATGCAAAAATTATTATTTATTATTATTTTGGTGACATAATAATAATAATAATAATAATAATAATAATAATAATAATAATAATAATAATAATAATAATAATAATAATAATAATAATAATAATAATAATAATAATAATAATAATAATAATAATAATAATAGGTACGTAAGTTTATGTATAGTGTGTCTATTTAAAAACGATATCAAAAATTTCTTAAAACTGTTTCTAAAGTCTATTCAAATCCAAGCTGGACTAAACAAAAACTCCCAGACGAGTGATAACATTTACTCCAGCTTGGATTTGAATACACAGAGAAAAAGGATTACTTGAATAAAATAAATTTTGTTTGTCCCAAATAAATTTGTTGTTTGTATATGGCGAAGTAAATATTTATTTGTTTATTATTAGTTATTTCTTTAATATGTTTTAAAGAATATTTTATTTCTTGAATAATTTTTTTCTTTGAAGATTCAAAAAATATACCATGTTGTTGTAAATGAATATTTTTTTAATTTCTTAATAAATTTTACCTTCTTCTAAGCCTATATTTATTTAAAACGAACAAATTTATATTTTTAAAGGAAAATAATATTTATTAATTTAAAAAAATATTGTTTTAAATTTTAAAATAAATATTAATTAGAATTCGCAAAAAAATGCAGTTTTAAATTTTAAAATAAATAATACTTTGCATATTATTTAAAAATACCTACCCCTCGCCTTTCGTCACGAACACACATTGCACTGGTATAAATTTAAAGACCATGGTATAAAAAAAAACAAAATTTGAAAAGACAGAACAATATATTTAAAAAACGATAAAAAATAAACAATATTATAAAAAACGAAACAGAAACTCTTTATAAAATAAATGAAAAACAATACTGGTAGGTATATATACATAAATAATAAATAATAATAAACAAATAGTTGACAATACAATATATGTTCATATGATAAACAAAATATATCAAAAACTTAAAAAAATAAAATGTTGCCATTAATAGCTATTAACCTAGGTTAAGTACCTACCATTATTTAAATAACGTTAAAAAGAAAGTAAATACGGCCTGTGGTCTAGGTATCCAAAGTTGTCTGCTCATTCTGTCTTCGTTATAATTGCTACAAAGTCGGTTAAATTAGCAAAAAAATAATCAAACGTCGGGTTTCCGAAATATTCACAAAAATAATCTTTTTAATGCGACAACCTGTATATTTTTTAATATTTTAAGACAATTTAATTTAAAATAAGAAATATTATTTCATAACTACCCTGAACGTATATATTAGGGTGAGCCAAAAAAACTAACCTATCGGATTTATATAAAACTGCATAAATCCGATAGGTTAGTTTTTTTGGCTCACCCTAGTACATGTATATATATTATATATTATGTATCAAGTTTGATAAACGCCATTTTAGACACGAATTTAATTTAGGCACTTTTCAAATATTGGCGTTGAAAAACTATTTAATGCTTTTGTATTTTTGTATTAAAATAATAAAATAATTTTCCCATTAAGTACTGTTTTACAAGAAGGGCACTTTATTTTAACAATTTTAAGACATTTGACAACTATCAACTAACTTAAAGCTTACTTCAGCCCGTGACTAAAAACCTGTTGCTAGCTTCATCTCGTGACTAAAACGCCATAAAGCAACAACTTGTCAATGTGTATTTAAATGGTCACTTAGTGTCATGGAAACATGTACGATAATGGACGTTTTAAAGGTGGGAGTAGAAAAAAATAATTAATTAATAGGCACTTTTTGAGGTTGTTGAAATAATCAGTAAGTTTTAGTGCTTATTAATTGTTTATTTTTAAGTTTAGGGTATTTATGCAATTTAAATATTCTTTCAAAATTACTAAAAATACCAAACATATTTTAAAAACCCGACGTTAAATTGTGTTTCTGTTTTCACCATTTCTCAGAAGAAAAAATGCCAACATCTTGCTAATTTAACCGACTTTGTAGCTCCAATAATAGCAAATAACTTTGTACACCCAGTATATTTTTTGATGCAAAAATGTAAAAAAATGGCGGGATTCAGACATAATAATTGTTGAAAATTGATTTAATGATAGTCACCTATAGATGTACTTATACATATGTATATGTATATACTTACCTGTTAACGCTGGCAGCAAATACTCCAAGTTGGATGAATTTAGGAACACATTCACATCCATTTTTATAATAAATTAATAAACTTAATAAAAAATACAGCCGCACTACCCAGACCAAAATGGCAATGACAATTCAACAAGCTTCCTGAAAGCGGTTAGAACAAGAAGCTTACATTTGATTGGTTTATTTTAATCACGCGATCCTTAGTAAGGATTCCTTACTTTAAAAAAATATTTATTTGATTTAATTTGATCTACTTAAAAGTAAAAAAAATATTTGTTTCATATAAAATGTTTTACACTTATGTAGTACCAATGAAATTGTTTATTGA